TATGAACTTGGGAAGAGAGAAGGGCCTGCTGACTTTTTTTTCCAAAGCAATTGTGACACCTACCTGTGGACCAAGGAAAAAACCAAATCATCCCAAATCCTTCAGTTCCACACCAACACCATCACATTACCAAAATGAGTCGCTCTGAAATGGGTCCGCCTCCTTCCCATCTTCAAGATGTGGGGTTAGTCATTTTGCCTAGTAGTAAAGTAGGTATTTTTTTGAGATACTGCTGTGAGCCGATGGACACAGGGGGTTAAGGCTAGTGCTTCTTGTGTCTCTTCTGTCCCACTCTGCAAACACCATCTATAAGGGGCTTTGATACCCCAAGTTTGGCTCATCAGAGCAAGCGTCTATTATGTGTCTAGCGAAGTAAACATGGTTCCAAATTGCATACAAATACCCAGATCTTAATAATCTATTTTTCCAAAGAGAAAACAACAGCTGTGGTGCAATATTATCCCAGTTAAAGGAGTGATTCTTCCAAGCAGAACTTGAGTGGAAAAGAGGGACTCTACAAAAGAGAACAAACATTCTCCCACTTGAAGGAAAAAAGACCAGAGAAGATTGCAATGCTCTGTCCTCAGATCCCATGACAAGAAGTAAGAAATACACATTAAGCAAGTTTACAGAGCAATTGTGCAGGGAGGAGCCCTGAGGTGGGAAGAAACACCAGGGGCCACTTACTTGCATTGCTGAGCTGGCCCTTCTATAGGTAGGGCTGGACGCCCCCACCAACCACGGTGCAGCCCTCACTGGCATCTGTCAGGGGAGGGGGCAGTTAGTCAGAACAGACCCCACAGCCATCTGTCTCCCAGAGGTTGAGCACCCACCAGCCCGCACACCCAGGCATGCTTGCCCTGTACCCTGCAAACAGTTTGGGGGACCTGACTGCCTCCACCACCGAGGTCTGAGTGGGTCCTGTTTCCTAGTTCTCATTTTCTTTCCCCCTTGAGCTCCATGACAAGTCTTATCAGCTCAAGGCTGAATTATGAGCAACAGAGGCAATATAGAGAAGGGGAGCGAGGGGGAAAAGACTCTGGCTTTCTATTTTGAAGAACTAAAACCTCTGGGAGTAACTGGAAGGTTTTGTTTCCTTCCAGCCAAAGGCAGAAGCAGAGATTCAGCAGGGCCTCCATTAACCAACAAATCACACCCACACCGGGAGCCTAGACTCTACCGGCAGGGAGCCAGCTGTGACTCGCATTTTACGGCAATTTGTGTTTGCTAAAACTCAAACGGTCATGATAATTACAAGAATAGCGGTAACAATAATAAATAAAATGAAACGTAAACAATAATGGGGTAGGTCTTATTGCAAGACGAGGATCGCCTTGGCCCTCCACCCCTTGTTTTGGCTTCACCACCCCGTTCACTTCCTCTAACTTTTAATCCGAGAGTGGCACATTCTGTCTTTTTCCTTTTCTCCTTTTCGTGACCAAGGTCCCCCTACCGTGTTCTCGGGTCTCCTGACCCCTTCCCCGAGCTCCCGGGGGAGTGCTGGCTAAACCAGATGCCCGGCTCCCCTTCCCCGGAGTCCCGCGAGCCGAAAGCAGCCTACCTTTCTTGGGCTCGTAGCCGCCGCCCGGGGGTCGGTAGTGGGGCTCCAAGGGGTGCGCACCCGCCTTGCCCGCGTCGCTGGCCGCCTTGGGCGCCCCGTGCAGCGCGTCTCCGGGGGCCGCGGCCGCCGAGTTGTACCGCAGGAGGCCCTGGCCCTGCAGCGCGGCGTTCAAGTTCCCGTAGTTTGTGTAGTTGCCGTAGAAGGGCGACGTGTAGTAGAGATGGCGGCCGAGCAGCGGTGACGCCGAGTAGGGCGAGCCGCCCGGCGGCGCCCCGGACGAGGCGGGCGCGGCGGCCGCGGGAAGGCCCGGCGGCGCGCAGCCCGGGCCCAGGCTCGGCTGCTTGAGGTCCGACGTGGCGATCTCGGCCAGAGACCATAGCTTGGGCTTGCTGGCGGGCTGCGGCGCGCCCGGCGACGTCCGGCTGCCCAGGGGCGTCTTGCCGCCGCCACCACCGCGGGGCGCGGCCTCGGGCGGGGGGCTCAGCAGCGGCGCCTCCACGCCGGTGAGCGGCGACGAGGTCACGGGTTTCGGCGGCGCCAGGTCCCGCTCGCCCTCCTCCTCATCGCCCTCGTCGTCCTCCAGATCATCGTACTTATCCTTGCACTCCGACCCCGATTCGCACAGGGGGTCCCCAGCACGGCACGGCAGCCTCTCCGCATCCGACTCGGCTGAGCACGAGTGATCCGTGAGCGAGTCCACGTGCAGGCTGATCCCTGAGGGGCGCGGGCACGGTCTGTGGCATGCGGGGCCGGCGAGGGCACCCGGGCCCCCCTCCGCCCCGATGATCCCTCACCTCTACCTAAGCCTGCTAAGGCCTAGGGGGAACACTGCCTCCCCTAGGAGTCCCTGGGCCCCGCGCGAACCTGGGATGTTAGGCGGGCAGCGCCCTCCCCGACTCAGCTCTGCGCCCCGCCTGGGAAGAACGCTCCCCAGACCTCGCGCCAGCCAGCCGCGGCCCCGCTCACCTTCGTCCTCTGCCGACGTCTCGGTGCCCTCCTGCGCCTTGTCCGGACTCTCTTCCTTGCCCCTTGCCGCGTCGCCCTCATCCTCGTCCTCGTCTTCGCTTTTGTTTCTCGGGGCCCACGTCATCTTGTTCTCCTTCTTGAGGCGCCGGCGCGCGTTGGCGAACCAGGTGGAGACCTGCGTGAGGGTCATCTTGGTGATGATGGCCAGCATGATCTTCTCGCCCTTGGTGGGGTAGGGGTTCTTGCGGTGCTCGTTGAGCCAGGCCTTGAGCGTGGCCGTGGCGTCCCGCGTGGCATTCTTGCGGTACGCCGGGTCGTTGAGCTGGTACGGGTAGGCCGCGCTGCCGTAAGGGTGGTAGCTGATGGCGCCCGTCATCCCGGTCGTGTGCGCGTCGTAGGGCGCGCCCTGGAACCGACAAGAGCCTGGTGAGTGGGTGCGCGGGGGCCCGACAGGCATCAGCCCGAAGGCGACCCTTCCGCCCGTGGCCGCCTTTCCCACGGTGAGTCTCCCGCGCTCCGGCCGCGCTTCCCGCAGCAACAGAGCAGAAAAAACGCAGCGGGTAGTTTAAGGCCAGCTGTTGATCACGAAAACCGCCGCAGTTTTATCTCCAATTTTTGAACTACTTGACTTTCTGAAAATGGCATATCTTCCCCCCTTCACCCGAACGTCCCAGAGCCGCGGGTACAGACGTACACAAACACGCACGCACACGCAGGCCCACAGGTATGTTTTGATCTCTAAATCTCTGGATGCTCCCAGCGCTGCCGCCTCCCGCTGCTCCCCCTTCCCCGTCCTTATATGGTTAGAAAACCACCCCGGAGCCCCCGCTCCGCGCGGCACCGCTCTAAAGCTCGGCAAATCCAATTTGCAACTCAGAAGCCAGTCACCGTTTCGAATTCTTCAAATACGCGGTAATTAGCATTTTAATTCAGCCTTTAACGTTTAAATTCGAGACATTTGCAGCCTTCGCCAAGGCCCCAGCCACTCAGTCGCTGCCCTGGAATTCCACCGAGGGAGGGCAGCGGTGGCAATCTCCCGTAATGGCCTCAATCGCCCCAAGCCCGCTTCGCCACCCCCGGGGCCGGGCCCAGCTGCGGAAACTGAGGCGCGCGTGCAGATCCCGGGTCGGGGGAGCAGGAGCTGCTCTCGCAGGATAGGGGACCGAGGCGGCAGTTAGCAGGCCAAACGCCCGCCGCCACGGTTTTCGAAAGCCTGCCCAGCGGGACAGATTAAGGCCGAGAGGGTGGCGGGCGGGCCGGCCCTGGAGCTCACGCCCCACGCTCCGCTCCCTCCCCAAACCCGATGACCTCGGGCCCCGCCAGGAAATGATAAGCGCCTGGCAGTCGCCCCAGAGGCCCCAGTGGTGCCGACCCTCGCGCTCCGCTCCGACATAAGCGAGCTCCCGGGCCGCTCTGGACCCCTCGCCAGGCTTCGGCGTCTGAACGAAGGAGAACACAGGACAGACACCGGCGGCAGCGGAGCCGCACTTTCCAGGCTCTTTGGGAAAATAACTCAGGGAGCCCAGGCGCAGCGACGCCGAGCGCAGGTCCTGCCCGGGCTCAGGGACGTCGCCGATCGGTCGCGCTGCCTCTCACCCCAGCCTCTTGTCCCGCCAGCGGCGCGGTGGCTCGAGTTGGCCACTCGGGAACCACCGCCCACGGCACTTTCCCCGCGCCCACGCCCGCCGATCCCCGGTCCCGGGTCCGCGCGCGCGCCCGCCCCCCCGCCCGCGCGGTTACCATGTAGGACGGGAAGCCGGCGGCGGCGGCGGCCGCGTCCGCCGAGTATTGCAGCGGGCTGCCGAAGCCGGTGGCCGCCTGCGCCGTGAAGGCCGCCGAGCCCGGGTAAGGGCTGAACGCCGAGCCCGACGCCGAGCGCGCCAGCTCCTCGCTGCGCGGCGCCGCCAGTGCCGACGCGCCGTACGCCGGGCACGAGTAGAGCGCCAGCGAGCCGGGCGCCTGGTACAGGTAGCCCTGCGGGTAGGACATGGTGGGCGCGGGGCGAGGGGCCCGCGTCACGCCGAGCAGCGGGCACGGCGCGCGGCGCCCCCCATCCACGCCCGGCCGGGGCGCGGCGCGGCGGCGGGTGCGGGGGCCGCGGGCCGAGGCAGGCCGACCCGCGCACTAGCCCGGGCGGCCCGCGGGCCGGGGGAGCGGCGGAGCGGTGGCGGCGGCGGCGGCAGGGGCGGCGGCGGCGCGGAGCCGGTGGGCGCAGCCGCGCGCCAGGCCGGCGGTCGGGGTTTGGGGGAGTCTGGAGTCGGGAGTGAGGAGTTGAGGAAGGAGCGCTCGAGTTTCCGAGGGACATTGGAACGCGGAGCTGTCCGTCACGCGCTCATCTGCATATTTGGGCGCCCGCCCCCTCCTCTGCTCCGCCCGCTGCAGCCGCCAGGCCGCGGTCGGGGGAGGGGCAGGGAACCCGGAGGGGAGGGGAGGCGAGGCGCGGGGAGGGGACAGGAGGGCGGAGGAGAGAGAGGCGAGAGGGAGGCTGGAGGAGGAAGGAGGGACGCGCAGGCTTTTGTGGCGCAGTCGCCTCTCCTGCAGCCCCAGCCGCCGCCCGCGGCCCCGCAGCCTGGCCAGGCCGAGGAGCGCGCACTCCCTCCCTCTCGCCTTTACTCCCAGCCACCTCGCACCCGCCCCAGCAGTTCCCCCACCTCTCCCCAGGAGCTCCCCCAGTGCCCCCACCGCCCTGGCCACCTTCTTCGTCTCCCGCACCCACTCAACACAGCCACTGCCCCGCCCCCCAGCTCGGCCCGCCAGGACTAGGCAGAGGCCGCCCGCAATCGGGCCGGGCTACTCCACTTGGGGGACCAACGGCCTGGGTCCCTCTCTCCACCGCGAAGAGGCCGGCCCAGGTGACTGCGCGCAGGACCCCGGTGTCCAGCCCTGGAGCCGCTGGCTGATGGGGAGCGAGATGGTGACACCCGGGGCCGAGTCCTCCATGGGTGGGGGGGCGAGGGGTGCGTGCGCGGCTCTCCCTCCACCATCCTCGGTCTACTGTGCCGCCCGGTGCGAGGCTTCCTCGTGGCTTCGCATCTGGTTGCCTGCCCCGCTCCGCCCAGCGTGTCCCCGTGGGACCAGGATCCGGGGCGCCTTCTCTGCGAACTGCCAGGAGGGCCCTGAGGTGAGCCTTGTACCCCGCCGAGGTCCATAGTGGAGAGCCGGGTCCCTAGGCGTTAGGACTTCCCGCTGTTGGGAACATTTTAACGCACACAGCCCGCGCTTCATCGGGAAGACGCCAGTCCCAGGAGGGTTTTACTTTATTTTGTTTTAATAAGTTCACTCCTCTTTCGGATTTGTGCTAAAGCACTCGGGGGAATGACCGTCACCGGACAGACCGCCTCTGACACATGAAGCCTCACTGTCACTCGGAAAGGGACGAGAAAGCCACAGGCTGGTGATGCGGGCGCAGTCGGCGGCACAGGTAACTCAGGTAACTTGTGGTGGGAGAGGTGTCTCGCGGGGCCCAGAGGCGGAATGCTTAGCAGGGTCCCTGGGACCCCAGCCTTGAGCCCCCCTCCTCGTCTCTCCTCCATGCCTCCCCACCCGGGGGCCGGCTGGGGGGGGGGGGCATCCCCAATGGGGCACGCTCAGGGTGTCCACAGGGCGTCGGGTCGAGTGTGCGCGGACCCAGGCGGGGGCGGCCACCCAACAGGTGCCTCTTTCTGGCAGGCGGTCTTGGCTGGGAGAGCTGCAGCGGGAGAACGCCGTGGGAGGGATTCCGGCCTGCAGCTCCCCCTGCCCCCTCAGCGCCCCAGCCCCCAGCCCTGCTGGCTCTGCACCTTACCGAGTGGGCTCAGTGATCGCGTTCCGGTCGGGGTCGCGCCGGCGGTAGGAGGCTCCAGCCGCCGGCCTGCTCGCCCGCGGAGCCTTCAAGGCATGCTTAGGCTGCGTTTGTCTTTCCCCAGGTCCGGGGGAACCAGTGCAAACTGCAGGGTTGGGCTTGAGAAGAGCTCATCCTCCTTGGCCTGCAGGCCTGTCGCCCCTGGTGGGTGTGATCCAGGCCCCTTATGCCTCCTCCACTAGCTCCCAAATCACTGGCACCACCAGTCCCCCACCTTCCATTGCTCTCCCCCCACCACTCTTCCTGCAAACCACAGCCCGGTACCCTCCACACATCACCCTAAACACACTGCTCCCTCCAAACACACACGCTTCCCACACCCTCTGGGCCACTTCGAGGACCCAGCAGAGGCGTTTTAACAGTGCTGCGACCCCCTAGTGGGACGTCCTAATTCAGTGCAGGGCAGATATTTTACATCGATTATTGTAACGTTAAAAAGGAAAGAGAGAGAGGGGGGGGACAGACCCCAGCAGCCCTGTGGAGCATGCCATTGACAGATTCTATGACATTTTTGGTCTTCCTGGGAGGGAATCTGGCCCTAAGAGGCTATAAATGAGCCGCCCACGCGTTGGATGACAAACACAAGGACAACAGATCAGATTGCAGTCTATCGGGTTCGCTTCCAATTAGATACTTTAACTGTAAAAATCAAGTCTAATTTCTATCTCCAAGGACCGGCCTGGAGTATTTCCATTTCTAAAGACCAGTTCCTGCTGTGGTTTCATTAGCATTTGGGGCTGGCTCCCTCACCAGTCCTCCCTCTCTCCCCCTCTCCCCATCTCTGCCAGGGGCAGAAAAGAAAACAGCAAATTATTACAAAAACATCCCCAGTTTGGAGCAGGAGCGTATGCTCCTGATACACTCGATTTTGACATCAATTAAGTATATAACCATACAAGTGCACGTGGCTTCGGAGGGCCTCCCATAGCCCAGGGTGCATCTCCAGAAACGTTGCCTGCGCTTCCTTTCCCTTTAGCTCTGTGCTGCTGATCCTGAAGACAGCTCTTCTTTGAGAGCAGTTTCGCCCGCAATTACCCTCCTCCACTCGTCTAAATTTTCCATACTGCTGCCTGCTACTAGTAAAAACCGTCTACCTTGCACTATTACACAGTCGAATCGCGCTACATGCCGTTTTTATTGGTAGTGACTGTAGCAAATTAAAATGCCTACGCAGAGACATTAAAACTTACGCTCTGCATTGTTATTGCAATATATAAGCTCCGTTTCGCTTTAAAGCTCCCTGATTTTTAAAAATCACTTTTCCTTTTCTTAGATTAAAGTTGGCTTGGTCTTCTTTTTAAAAATCAATCGGAAAAACAAACAAACAAACAAACACGCTCCAAGTGTGGAGTGTCGACGCGGTGGCTCCGCGCGCGGCCGCCTGCGAGGGTGGCCTGGATCGGCTCGCACTGCGTCTCCAGGCACCGCGCAGGGAGCAGGCCGCGCGGGGAGCGCTCGGCTGCGCCCCGGGCCCCGCGGCCTCCTCTCGCGGAGAGCAGGGACCTGGATGCTTCGCTCGCCGCTGCAGAGGGGTGTTCGGGCATGTGGGGCACTGGGGATGGCCAGGCGCTTTGCCACTGGTGCTTTTCGGTTGCCGTCCGAGCTGGAATGGAAGAGAATGGGCTGGCGCGCAGGGAAACTCGGATAACTGCCTGGAAGCACGATCACTTGTAACAATTACCCGGGCATTGTGCAGTTTCAGGTTGATCCTTCCCCCAGGTGTGCATTAAAAGAAAAAAAAAGAGTTAACGCTGTCACACTTTTGTTTCTTGTCCCAACAGTGGCCTCTGCATTTGGAACTAGTGGCGTGGACACGCACGTTTCAAGGAGCCGGGGTTTCCTGCGAGGCTAAGCGCCGAGAAACGTCAGGAACGCGGCCTTGGGCCCGAGGACCGGTCCCCGGAAAGCGGCCGCTGCGCAGGCCGAGGGCTCCCCGGACGCGGTCGGTGCTGGGGCTCCCGGGCGCCGGGGAGGCGGAGCAGCGCGCGGGCGGCGAGGGGGCGCTGTGGCCCGCGGCTGCGGCCTTGTCCCTGCAGCGGTGGCCCGGTCGCTGTCCCTGGCCACCGACGGGCGGCAGGCGCCCCTGCCCCGGTGCGACCTACCTCTTCCCAGATCGCTTTAATTCGAGGAAGAAGGAAAATTATACTGGGGCATTTCAATAAAACCTGCGCCACACACCATCTCTTTTTCATTCTGTCATTACCCTGGCCTTCGGTGGAGTTTCTATGAGTTTGGTGGGAAAATAGCTACCATTTTGGAGTGTGCAATTTTTTTTGTCAGTTAAGATTAAATATACACGTATTACCTGGGTTCCCCTTCACGACGGAGCCTTGACAATGGAAGTCGTTTCTCTGTGTGGGAGCGTTTGCCTATTGTCTTCCTAATCCAGGGTGCCGCCCTTCTCGGGACTTCCTGGCGCGATTGCGGAGGGACTGACAGCGAGAAAGAGAAAAAAGGGACCAGAAATTCGGTTCTGCAATTTCCTTTGTCTTTTCTTTTTTTGAATACTGAAATATGTCGCTATAAATCGTAAAAAAAAAAAAAAAAAAAAAAAAAGAAGAGTCAAAAGCAAACGTAAATATTTTTGGAGTGTGGTTTCCGCCCTTGCAGTATTCTGGGAACACGTTGGGTTAGATTTCAGTTGCAAGTGCTCCGAGCTCGGTTCTCAAACTGCTTCTGACGCTGCAGGGTGTCGCTGGAAACCAAGCGCGGAGGGAGGGCAATGGGCACGGCGCAGGGTGCCCCGTGCTGGCGCCCTGAGAGGGGACCCATCTGGGTTTTCAAACGCACCGGAAGGCCTCGGCCACCCTGGGCAGCGCCACAGGCCGCGCGGGAGGGGACCTAAGGTGACAACCCTGCAGGCTGGGGACGAGCCCCTGGGCGTCAGAGCGCCAACATTCCAGGTCCCAGGGCCCTCTCTTCTTTTACGTTCTAAGAACCGCGTTTTCACTTATCCAGCTCTTCCCTGCTTAACTGTCTGACTCTTTAGCTCCTAATTACTGCGAGGTCTCTTCATTGCTAACTGGTCCCTCCCGGGTCCCTTTAGTGACCAGCAAAACTCCCGTCGTCTTCACAGATGCCCCGCTTCCTATGGGCCTCCTGGAGTTTCTCTCGCCACAGCGTGGCAAGAAACCTCATCTATCCATTTCTCAGCGTCTTGCAGACTCGGTCTCTGTCCTCCCCTGTCTGCCAGCTCTCCCCGGGCCGAGGACCCCCTCGCCGAGCTGGCCCCGTGAGCCTGGGCCGGGTGCGTCCCGTCCGCTCGCGTCCTGCCGGTGGAAGCGCCCAGAGAGGGAGGAAGGGGGACGGGCCGTGGACTGGACAGACCTGAGTTCCTTTAAGGGATCCGGGTTACAGGAGACCCGTTTCCAGAGCAGCGAAGAAGACCTGAGAGATTTAGTTCATGAGCGGTTGTTTGAAAGGAGAAATGTTTGAAAATCCTCAGCCTTTTCACCTTGACACGCGCGCACCCAGGCAGGTCCCGGAACACCCCCCTCCCCCCCCACACACAGCGACACAGACACACATGCACACGCACATTCACGCTTCCCAGAGAGGTCCGCGCCGCGCCGCTGCAGCTATTCGGGGGAAGTGGAAACAGATGAAGAGAGTTGTCAGGGTTTTTTAGAAGTGTTTCTGCCAGGCAGTCTTTGGAAGAACTTAGCTCACCCCTCCCCACCCCTCCGGCAGCTGCTCCATCGCTTTGTATCCACCGTTTTAAATACCAGAGCGCACCTACACGGTGGCCGCGAGTGTGCGGGTGTGAGCGGGCCCAGGAGGCTGCGGAGACGGCGGGAGTCCACTCCGACCCGCGCAGCAGGTAGGACTCGTCGCTCGCAAGAAAACGTGGGAGAAGGACGATTTACTCCAAGTCTTTTCAGGATTCTCTTAGCAAACAAGCGAGGCTCTGCAGAGCATCTGTCTGGGGCCTTGCTTCATATCCCTTTGCTAACCCTTAATTCGCTTTGTGTACCCCGAAACTGTTGGCCCAGACCACCAATCCGGCAGCATGTGGTCAAGTACGCACCCACCCCTCCCTCCCCGAACTCTCCCGCACACTCTGACACACCTAGGATAGTGTGGGTAGAGGAAGGGAGGATTTTTTTTCCTTTTTAAAAACTGGAGGGAATGGAGGAAGAAAAATTTGACAAATTTGACTGCATTAAAAGTAAACACTTAAGTTGGAAAGAAAATAAATCACTGACATCAACCAGGGAAGAAGATATTTGCAGCACATATAAATGGCAAAGACTGCTCTGCAGAATCACCAAGAATTCTGACAGTCAAGGGCTGAAGACAGGCCACCTAATGGAAAAAGGGGTCAGGGATAGGAACAGACCCTCTGCACAGAGGAGAGCCGAAAAAGCTGTGTACACAAAAATGTCCACGTCCACTAGTGATGGGGAAATCTCCAGACGGTGTACAAGATGCCACTTTACGCCATTGGGTGACACCACACAAGGCCCGGGGTTTGCAGAGATAGGGAGCTCTCTCCCTCACTGCCCTGCTAGTTTAAATTACTACAAAGAAGTTACGGGGACATTTGGCAACATCTGAAAGAGCAGGAGATGCCCACTCCATGTCCCCCTGCCACTCCTTGCCTCCTTGTGCATTGCAGAGAAAATGCCAGGCAGGGGCTCAGGAGGCCAGGAACCAGTCCTTACAGTATTGTTTGCAAAGTGCAAGACTGGAAACCTCCTAAATGGCAATCCGCAGAGGCCTGGATAAAGAATCTGTGTCATATTTCACGGAATAGCGTGTTCCCCAGGGCTGAAAGTGAATGAAGCAGCTTTACTTGTATCAACATGACTAAGTCCTGACAGTGTAAAGTTGGGTGGGAAAAACAATAATTGAAAAAAAGGATACAGCCAAGATGATGCTGCTGATGGAATTTTACAAACAAACAGAATATTTTGTGCTGTTTACAGGCACGGGGTGGGGGGCGGGGTGCATCAACAACCTGGGAAGGAAGGTATCCACTCCACTGCAGGGACTCCGAGTGCTGCCGAAGAGGGGGCGTGCGAATGGGGGGCTTCAGCTCTGAAACTAATATTTTATTTCTGAAAAATAAATGCTAAAAAATGTTAATGATTATTCACTTTGAATGATGCTTACCTGGGATTATATTACTCTGCATATTTTCCTCGTGTGAAATATTTTATGTTTTGAAAATGAAAATAAGAAATAAGTATTAGCATTTAAAAGAAGTGTCAGAGCATAGCAGTATAATGTGCTAGTTTAGGAGTTCTTTCTTTTAAAAAGAAAGTTGTCTTAATTTACATTCTTCATCTCTTTCTTCCTTTCTCCATTTTCCCATCCTTTGAAACAAAATAAAAACGTCTTGGATTTGCGATTTAAACCTTTAAACTCACTGTCACTGTGTTTACCTCTTTGTGCTGTTATCCAAAGTATGGCAGGAGGGCCCGGCTTCCAGGCAGGATGCTCCCCGAGCACCCTGTGCCTTTCTCTGCGGACCTGCAGATCCACTGCCTCGCCTCGTGGGAAGCTGTGGCCTGGCCTCCCGCTCTGTTCCTGGCGGTATACACCGAGGCCTCTCTGAGGGCAAGGACAGCAGCCCCACTGGCCACCTGCCAGCCTCTATGGGGACAGATGCCCATCCACTGTGTGGAATTCTGCGTCTTCTCTGTCTATGACAGTAAACATATTTCAGAAATTCAAATCAAGATTAGAGAGAGGGACTGTAGGGAGACAGAAAGTTCCGGGGGCGAAGGGTGAGCGCAAGGGCAGAGTGCAGCCTGGGAGGGAAAGAAGAGGAGAGGCAGGGAGGGAGGAGGCCCCCAAGCTTCCTTCCCACAGGCCCTCAACCCTCACAGGCCTCCTCACTCCCAGAGCGGAACTCCCTGCCTTTCAGGCCCCTAAGCTCTTTCTAGATACGACTAGTTCTGCTTGCATCCTCTCCGCTGCAGCCAGGGGATCTGGATCTTCAAGCACAAATCTACTTAACGCCCTTGCACGGCAGTGGGAGAGGCCTTGAGGCCGGCAGTCTGGCCTCCTCAGTGAGGACAGTGGTCTCCATATGGCACTCTGCTCCTCAACCCGTTCGCAGCCAGGCCGGGAGCAGGGCACCACACTCCCAAAGGCCTCCCTGTGCCTCCTGCTTCTGCCTGCAGCTGTGCGCTGGCTGCCCCCTTGCTCCCCTCTCAGGCACCCTGGCCGACTTGCCCTTCCGCCTGCACCCACGCTCCCTGCCACTAAGCCCCTTCCCCGTGGTCTCATTCACCCTTCTTCCTTGGATCCCAGAGCAGCTGCTGTCAGGGTGTGATGGCTCTCTGACCTCAGTCTCACCTGTCACTCCAAGTCTGACAAGTCATGGGCACTAGACAAATATTTACTAAATGGACAAATGAGTGAATGGGTTCTTCCTGGTTATTCACCTTTACTTGCTAAAGGCCAGCAGGGTGTTGGAGAGACAGAAAAACGATGGAGACACTTGCTTACATTTCAGCCCTGCTTCCTCCTTGGAGAGCCCTCCACACCTGAGCTGGTGGACTGTGTAAGTGCTCCAGGGAGGTTGGATCACTCCTCAGGAGCCCTGGCTCTCCTGTGCAAAGCAGGATCAGTTTTGGATGTTAAATTTTATGGCTCAATAGATATGCATATTTAAAATAACTATTTATTTATATTTTATTTTTTTAATTTTGGTTGAGGAACGTCAGCCCTGAGCTAACACCTGTCATCAATCTTCCTCTTTCTTTTGCTTGAAGAAGATTAGCCCTGAGCTAACATCTGTGCCAATCTTCCTCCACTTTAATGTGGGACCCCCCCACAGCATGGCTGATGAGTGGTGTAGGTCTGCACCCCAGATCCCAACCTGCGAACTGGGCCACCAAAGCAGCACATGCCAATCTTAACCACTCGGCCACGGGGCCAGCCCCCCAACAATTTGTTTTTTAAAATGAGTTCCTGAATAGCAATCAGTCCAAAATCTTGCATTCCATGAGGAAAGTGAGTGCACATCTTTATTTTTGCATCCCAAATGACGTGCGCAGTTCCCAGCACACAGCAGACACTCAGTGCAAGCATTTGTATAAATGAGTGCATGCATGTTGACACTTGGGAAGCAGGAAACTTGAACAAAAGCAAACTGAACTTTGATGGTATTTTCAGTCAAAAATTCAGAATGGGAAAGAGTTATAGTATTTAAAATTTTTATTAGATCCCAGCAAGGTGTTTTGTAGATATAGACAAGCTAATTCTGAAATTTATTTTTAAAGGCATGGGGTTCAGAATAGCTAAAACAATTTTTACAAAGAAGAATAAAGGGGAGAAATCAGTCTACTCGATTTCAAGACATTACATGATGACAGGAGTCAAGAGGATGTGGCGCAGGTGGAGCGATAGACAGGTAGATTGTCGGAACAGAACAGAGAGCCCGGAAGCCAACCCATCCAAATGCTCCTGACTTATTTTGACAAAGGTGCAAAACAATTCAATGGAGGAAACGTGGCAT